ATATATAATAATTAATTCAACATTTCTGAATATTTATATTTTAATAAAAATTTATAAACTTCTCATCTTTTGTCGTAACAATATTTAAAAGTTAATTACAAGATTTATCTTATATATTTAATATAAGAGTAAAAAAGATAGTTTTAAAATTAGACAATATAAAAAAAAATGTTAATATATTAATTTAATTATTTTCATACAATATGCTTTTTATAATTTAACATAACAATTTCATATACTTTATAAGAATCTATTATTTTATAATTATATAAGATGATATTATAAATTTTACAAATAATTAAAACCTGCATGAAATTAACAACAATTAGATTTCTATTTATTAGATTTTTTGCAGGATATGTTGGGAAGTACACCTCTCAAGAAGCTTCCAATTTGGCAAGCACATGACTATTTCTGTCAGTTATTGGATGGTTTAGAATACCTCTACAGTAAAGGGATAGTACATAAAGATATAAAACCAGGGAATTTATTATTAGCTTTAGATGGTACCTTGAAGATTAGTGATTTTGGAGTTGCAGAGGTATATATGTGTATATATATATATATATGATAATTAATGAATTTCTTTTATTTTATTTAATTATAATATAATTTTTTAAGTTAAATATTTAGAATTAACAAACTATTAAAATTTATATTAATAAAAGAAATGATAAAATATTCTGTAATATTTAATATTATTAGGCATTAGACATGTTTTCTGAAGATGATACATGTAAAATGGGACAAGGTTCACCAGCATTTCAGCCTCCTGAAATTGCAAATGGCTGTGAAACATTTTCTGGTTTTAAAGTAGACATATGGAGCAGTGGAGTTACATTGTAAGTATATCTTTTTTTATAAATTAGTTTTATTTTTATAATTTAAAGAATTATTACAAAAAAGTTTAGTTTACAAATTGAATTTTAATTATTATAAAATAAAAATTTCATTATATATTTTTAATAAAGTTATAAATATTTCACAGATACAATATAACTACAGGTCAATATCCTTTTCAAGGCGATAATATTTATAAATTATATGAAAATATTGGAAAAGGTGAATACTCTATACCTGAAGAAGTCGAAGAACCTTTAAAATCTCTTATACAAGGAATGTTACAAAAAGATGCAGATAAAAGATTTACTTTGCAACAAGTTAAAAAACATCCATGGACTATATGCAGGCATCCTAAAACACAAGAAGAAGTACCCATACCTCCTCTTAAAGGGCATAAATGGCATAGTATGACCGTACTACCGTACCTGATGGAGTATCATTACGGAAGTGACGACAATCCTATGTATTATACTGAACATCAACTAAATGGTATGTTTGTTTTATATTACTTTGCATTATGTTACATGTTATTATATTTATGTATTAAAGCTTAATTTTTGTTGCTATAATATTTATATTAATTTGTATATTCACACCTAACAGAAAGGTAAGATAAACTTGCATGCACAAAAACACTAATTAAAAAAATATTATAAAAATATAAATAAATCATATATTATTTATTGTGGCTTAATATAGAGGATGTTAATGTATTTGTCAAAACATTTTTTAAGAATTGATTCTAAAAAGTAAAGCAAATACATAAATTAATATAAATAGATATTAATTATTTTTTAAATTATAAGGAATAAATTACATTAGATGAAATAAGACAAACAGAATAAGACAACAATATAACAGAGATAAAATTATCTCATTCTATTTTTATTTTGTTCATTAACACAAATTTAAATTACTTGTAACTTAATCAACTAAATCTTAATTTACATTTTTATATATCAATTTATATATATTTTTTTTTATTTATATATATCAATTTTTGTATTTGTTTTCGCCTTTATAATCAATTCTCCAAAGATATTCCATGAATATATTAATATCCTATATTATAGCTCAGAAGCAGTATTTTTAAAGTGGTTTGATAATTACATTATTTTATAACTAAATTAATAATCTTATCTATTAAAATCATTTTATAATTGTATTTTAATAAAATTAGCATTGATATTTATATTTTATTTATTTATAAAAATTAAATTACATAATTTGTATAAATTATTTTAAGTAAAGATAATAAATATTATTATTAAAAATTGTTAAAAATTCCTTTTTTTATATATTATTAGAAAAAAGATTTTATTGAAGAAAAAATACATTATATTATTTATATTACAGTATAAATTATAATTATAATTAAAGTAAATAAACACTTGAATAAAATACAGCTTTTGCTTTTCAGATTCTAAACGGAATAGTGAACAATCTTTTTCAAATCGACTACTAGTATTCTTATCAAAGACATGCACCATTCTGTAACAATGACACGTTTATATCTACCTATGATGTTGCGAGCTGACAAAAACGGGTACTCTCTATATAGTGTATACCCAGTTTTACCTTTCTCCTTCCTTCCTTTTTACATTTTATAACACACATCTAAATTTATATTAATTATGGTATTGAAATTTTTAACTCATTAATATTTAGAATAGCCTTCTGTTATTAGCTTCTGCAATGTGTCATGCATATTTTAAATTATGTGTAGTAATATTGCAAAAACAGTCTTGTTTTTTATATTGCACAATAGATTATAAAGTTATTATATTATTTATACATAAAATAGAATTAATCCTTATAATATAAATTTATAAACAGATTTTAAATAAATTTATTTTTTTGTTCAGAAGAAAAACGGCTTCAAGAAATGGACAAAATTAGTGAAGACCAAAAAACTACTTGGAATAGTAACAATAACAAACAAAATTCACATCAGAGTAAACGGAGATGGCGCAAACCAATTTCATGTATTAATGTTAAGAAATTTCCATCTTGTAAGCCATCGTGATTTAACTTGTTGTCATACTTATTTTTTATCATACATTTTACTGACTATGTCAGATATAAAGTTTCTCTGCAACGGAGATGACTGAAAATTTAATAAATATTAAAATATGCTAGAATAACTATCTAGCTACAGCTCGAATTGAGTATAAATTTAAATTAATTCAAAAACATTAAATGTAAACATTTGTGATATTAATATTAAATAGTCGTAGTAGATAATTCATTATGATTTATTAATTATGAGGTTAATAACTTGACATCCAAATAAAGTGATTTTCTTTCACGTGCCATAATGAAGTTACAATTATTAAGATATATGTTATTAAGTGTTCTTTTTGTATAACTTTTTTCTTTTCTCTCTTTTTTATCAACTTAAATGATAAAAAGATTGAAAAAGTAATACAAAAAATCATCAAATTATTTTGAATTCTATTTTTTAATCATCATGCTTTGCTCTATTACTTTTGTTTTATGAATTAGAAAAAACATGTTATTTCGAACAAAATTTGTGTGAGCTATTTTACTAACTTTGACGCTATTAAAATTTGTATTTTTTATTTTTTTGGTAAAACAGAAACTTTTGTTTATTAAACAGATTTATTTATATAATGCATTAACAAACTATTTCTAATACAAAAACTTTATGGTTGATGTTATGATGGAGGATAAAATAATTCAAACATACAAATATATATAAACAGAAACATATTAAATATATGTCACAAATATTATTTTAGATTGATAAAAAACTTTCCTCCAATATATATACATGTTAAAAATATTTTATATATAATTGTTATTTTAGAAAATATCTGTGTTTGTAGACTGCATATATATGATAGTATTATCATCGTAAGATGACTTGTAAACACTTAATGCAATTCTTGTAACATGACTTAATATAAAACAAACATCGATTCTTCTATATATGAGAATATTGAGAATTGTTTTACATAAATACTTATAATAGATATTATCAAAGCGTACTTGAATATCATTAAGGATAAATACAATGTATTGTTGATCTGTATGTTTACTTTTAAATTTCATATTAAATGATCCGTATTCATGCTTTAATATTACACCAAATATTATCAAAATTGGGTGTGATAAATTTAGCATGTAATAAATCTTTATACAGGAGCACATTATACACATACATATTTCAAGTATGAATTGTAAATCTATCAATTAAAAGATATAACCAGTTCAAGACATATGTATCTATTATGTATCTAATATGCTTCCACAAAAGAATAATTTATTTCATAAAAGATATATTAACAAAAATTTTGTCACATTAATAAAAAATATTTTTTTTAAATAAGCGAAGATCAATAATATTAATGTTTTTTTAAATATCGTCTGCGCAATTTATACAAAGATAAAATCATAATGAATTGTTATAACATTACCTATCATGTAAATTTGAAGAAGTTATAGAGAGAATATGAATATAAATTGTCCTCTCTCTCATTCTCTTTCCTTGATGGAATTAAGGTGCCTAAATACTGCCAAGTACTGAAAGCACATAAAAATAATTATATCTTTTGTGATTGTACATATTATAAACAATATAAAAAATTATATGTAATTATATTTAGTTACATGAAGAATGAACAAAGATGATAATTAAGAAGTAGAAATTTATATCAAATTTATGTGATAATATAATTTTGTTTTTTTGTTTAAACATTTTTTTTATTGTAAAATTTATTATATATGTTATTTTGAAAAAACATATGGGATATTAAATAAGAAATGTATAATAATAACTTTACTGTGAAATAGGAAACATTCGCTAATAACATCAAGTTTATAACGATTTTGTTAATTTACTTTGATTATTTCGTTATTTTATTTTTCAAACTAAAAATGTGCAAAATAAAATTAACAAAATTAGTAGATTTAACATACAAAAATATAAAAAAAAATATGTGCGTAATATTTTTATATCATAAGTATATTGTGTTCCTCAATATTTTTTCATGAATATATATATATATATATATATATCTAAATTAAAATTATTATATTTCACTACTACAATTTTAAATTTTTTGCTTAATGTTAATTTGAAATGTTGATTAAGAGAAAAAAAAATTATTCAAAGTAATACAATAATTATTTAATTGATTTATTCAAATAATATATTATAAAATTCAAACTATATAAAATAATTTTTAAAAGAAATATAATTATTTTTATTAATCATTTTAAATTGTTAATATTTTTTATAATAAATAATTGAAATTCAAATAAAATAAAGATTTAAATTACGATAAAAATATGACATACGCACAGTGGAATAAAATTGATAAAAAATCTAAATTACATCATTATAATTAAATATATTCTGTATATTTAAAAATTTATGTATATAATAACTAAAAATGATTGCACAGAATTATATATATTAATATAATTAGCTTGTAATTTTAAGTTGTAATATAATCGCATTTGTATTAAAATGATGTGGAAACAAAATAACAGTAATATCAAATAAGCAACATTGTATGCTTCATTTTTAATATTAAATTAAGTAAATGTTATATAATAATTATAAAAAATAATTTTTTTATTATAATATTCTAGATTTTATTAATTTTTATACACATATTACTTACAATTATAAGTTTATTATTATAATATATATTAATACATATATACATAAATGTAAAGATATTATTATTATTATGGTGATGGTCTAAAAGTTTCATCATTTACTAGAAATGATTCATATTTATAAAATTATATATTTATATAATTTATAAATTTGTAGAATTTATAGTATTTACCAAATATAACAAAAAATTTAATAGCAATAGATTTTCTCATATAAATAATTAAATTATATAAGATAATTAATAGTAATTTAGAATTATTATTTTAAATAATTTGGAACTATAATAGCTAGAAAAAATTTTTTATGTAAAAATTATTTAATATAAAAATAATCATTATATAGTCATATCGAACTTCTAAAGAATTGCTTAAGAGATGTCATTTTTGTTCTTTTATGGCCATATTTTATATCATATTTTTATTATTTTTTAATAGATTATTATTTTTAAGACGAATAAGAAAAGTTATAACACAAGATCAATCAAAACCACAATTAGATGATAAATTTATTCTTTTTCAGATATGTTCGAAATAATGAATACTAGTATCAATAGAATCATTCTTGAACGATTCTATATTAATATTGTTGTAATAAGAATCGTAATAACAAACAATATTAAAATAAACATAATAATATTAGTATCAAGTAATCATTGTACAAAGCAATTATTGCAATAAGAATTGTAAGAACAAAAATAAGCATAGTGATTTAATATATACAAAATATATAAAAATAATATATATAATTATATAAGATATAAAAAATAACTATCATGGCCATTCTATATTTCTCGACTATTGAAGATTTATAAAAATGATAAGTAAAGATTTATAAAAAAATTTTTGCCGTAAAAATGACCTTGATATAGATTTTTAAGATTAAAGTTTTTTTATTGTATTAATATTTATTGCAAGAAACAAAATCGCAAATGAATTCTTTTAAAAAACAAATCTAAAATTTCATAAACTATTTTATTCAATATTTCTATATTTTTATTGAATTATTACAATATAGATAATATCTAATTGAAATATGTGAAAACTTAGTGATAATATCCAAAAGAAATATTAATTCGATGCAACTTAATTAAATCAATAATTTAATCAAATCAATTTTGATCAGAAATTAATATTATATCATCCTAATGCACATGAAAAATCACAGTGAAAGAAAAGCAAATCATTATTGCTCTCGTCAATGCAGTTCAGTGAGTAGAAAAAAATCATATACGTGTTTTATTATATTATTATATTAATCACATTAATTGATATTTGTTGATGAATTACATAAGTTGGAACGCAAATCACGCTTTTTAAAATATATATTATTCACAGAATCAAAAGAATAATAGAATTGGGACGTTTTGCTTTCAATTTATCATTTACTTTAATTTAATTTATTTAAACAGGAATCATTAAGATTTATAATATCGAACTGATTTTTTAGAACATTTAAATGAACTGTAATATTTTATATAATTATATTCGATGATATAGATGATATTATGTTTCTAATTTGTCAATCTTCGAAAAATATTTTAGATTATCAGAAACAAATTTACACCAAATATATGGTCTTTTTCTTCAAAATCTGTTAGACTTTTTTGAAAAGCATATTATAGTAGATTTAAGTCAATCTGATATTAGAAATCTCAGTGATTCCTGCTTAAACATTAAAATATTCTTGCAAAATATTCTTTAACTTAAATATTAGTCATTTCTTAATTTTGACAATAATATAGGTTTCAAAAAGCATGTATTTATCAGCAAAAATCTTATTAAGTTATATGATTATTTAACTAAACACTATGTATATAATTTTTTCCTATTTATCGATGAGAGCAATGATGACCTGCTTCTCTTTTACTATGATTTCTGATGTGTGTGAAGTGATGTAATATTAATTTCTGATCAATAAATCATTGATTTAATTAATGAAAAATCATATTGAATTGATATTTTGTTTCGTAAGTGTTTCCTTCATAAATTTTCACATATTTAATGAAATAATGTGTAATGTATTCAATTGCATATTATGTATATTGTAATATCTTAATAAAATTATTGAATAAAATAGTTTACGAAATTTCAGATTCGTTTTTTAAAAGAATGGTTCATTGCGATTTTTACTTCTTGCAACGAATACTATATAATGCAATAAAAAATTTTGATCTTGAAAATCTGTATCAAAATCATTTTTACGATAACAATTTTTTATAAATCTTTATTGATCGAAAGATCGTAGATTATAGATCGTAATCGTAGAATTATGATAGTCATGATACTTATTATCTTATATGAAGCAATTATTTACATAAGTTAACTGATGTTATTTGTAATATATTTTCTTGTGTTATAAATGTTTGTATTCATCTTGTTATAAATTGTTATTTATTAAAAAACATAAGAATATTATATGCCATAAAAAAAAATAAAAATATAAAAAAAAATTAAGATAATTTTCATATCTTCATCTACTTTACTTTCATAAATTTTACTTACAAAAAGATTAATATGATCATACGATAACTATTTTTATTTTAATAATTTTTGGTTAAAAAAAATTTTTTCTAGCTAACATAATTCCGAAGATATATAAGA